TGCCCCCCGGCCAGCGACAAGATGTCCACGGGGCCCATGGTGCGAAAGCCGAGGATGCACCGGTACATCAGCACCAAGGTGCTGCTGGCCGAGGGGCGCGAGACCCCCTTCGCCGAGCACTGCCGCAACTACGAGAACACCTACCGGGTAGGGGCGCGGGCCGGGCGGGGCAGGGCGGGCCGGGCTGAGGGTGCTGCTCAACGGTCCACCAACCCCACAAGATCCAGGGCCTGAAGGACCAGGTGCAGGAGCTACACCGTGACCTCACCAAGCACCACTCGCTCATCAAGACGGAGATCATGAGCGAGATCCTGCAGAAGTCCCTGCAGATGGACGTGCAGATCGCGGCTCACTACTCCGCCGTGGAGATGATGCGCAGCGTCTTTGAGGAGGTACAGCTGGCTGTCACGCCCGGCAGAGCAGGGTCCCCCCAGGCCGTGCTGTGGCACGCTGCCCAGCTCCTTCTCCCTCCTCCAGGTCTGGGAGGAGACGTACCAGCGGGTGGCAAACGAGCAGGAGATCTACGAAGGTACCGTTGACTCTGCTCCGCTGGCCTTGAACACCCTGTGCCCGCTCCGGGGCAGGGTGGGGGGTGGGTAGCCGTGGCCACAGCTCACGCCTCTCGCCCCCCAGCCCAGCTCCACGACCTGCTGCAGCTGCGGCAGGAGAACAGCTGCCTGACCACCATCACCAAGCAGATCGCGCCCTATGTCCGCTCCATTGCCAAGGTGAAGGAGCGGCTGGAGCCCAGGTGAGGGGCACAGGGCGGCTTTTGGGGCCAGGGGGAACATGGCCATGGCTCATGCCCGTCCCACCGCAGACTGCAGGAGCCCTGGGAGCCCAAGGAGGAACAGGCACCAATGCTGCTCAAGATCTGCGACGACAGCGAAGCGATGCCAAGGTAGGCAACAGCGAGCACCCCACTGCCCAATCCCCCCGTGCCCTTTCCAGCCTCTGACCCTGCTGAGGTGCCTTCTCTTCCCCAGGGACACCTCAGCTGGCAGCAAGGAGGGGGCCCCAGCTGGGACCAGCGAGGGCTGTGTGCCCGGCAGCACCTTCAGAGACCCCTCCCCTAAAGGCAAGGACTGCAGCAGGGGCCAACAGAGGAGCGGGGCCGCGAGCATCGCCCAGGAAGAGCCAGCACCGTAGAGCCCAGTGCTGAGAACGTGCACCAGGGCTGGTGCTCACCGAGGAGGAGCTGTGCCCCACTTGACTGGCTCCTGTTGCCTTGTGCCATGAGCAAAGGCAGGACAACATGGCCCAGGCACACAGCGTCCCAGAAGCTGGGCTTAGGGCAACTTGCTTCATCTGAAGAAATAATTGTCTTTATGCTCTCCCTTTTGTGTGTTAGAAGTGAAATAAAAGGGCACAAGCACACACGTCCGCTTGGTTCTGCGGCTCTGGGCAAAACAGGCTGGGGGTGTCCAGCTGCTCCGGAAATCATGCCTGCAAACATGGGGCAAATAAACCCCAAAATGCCTGGTGCAGGGTAGAGCCCAGAGCTCCCTGCAGGGTCTGAGCTTCCTGTGCCAAAAGGCAGCAGAGCAAAAACACAGGCAGAGCTCTGGTTCTCGTGCATCTGTTTAAAAACTCACCGTGCTGTAGCACAGAGGACAGGCTTGGACATCTTCCTCCAGCTTCTCACTGGAACTAAGGTGCCTTCTCAGAGCCTAGTGAGCTCCCATCTCCTCACCAAGCTTCCAGTCACAGGATTTGGGAAAATAAAAGCTTACGAGAGGCTGCTACTCTCCAACGCGCCAAGAGGTCTCTGCAGATCGTGCTTGAAGTGAAGTTCATCCCTTCCTCCTGGTGCCATTGCATCCTGCCTCAGGCAGGCCCGGCCGTGGCACTGCTGGGAGAGGGGTCAGCACCAGCACAGGCACACTCCCAAAAAATCACTATCCTGGGGTACTTGCTACAAAGAACAACTCCAGAATAAAGTTTTCTTTCCATCGCCAGCCCACATCAAACACAAGTATAAAATGCCTTGTTTGCTTGTTTCAAAGTACACTTGTCCAAGTTTACAGCAGAAATGTTAACGTCTACAAAAAAAAAAAAAAGTTAAAAATTAACCTGCCTGAGGCACATTGGCTACAAGAGCAGGTCGCAGCTTCAGTGAGGACACATGCTAGAGGCACAGAAAAGCCCAAGCACGTGCCTATGGGCGACCACACAGAGAAATTGGTGCTCTCCAGCCGTTGTATTTTTGTTTTTCTCTTTTCTCCCAAGTGAAAAACCACTCCTAGTAAAAGACAAGCAAGGGCATTAAGCTGATGCTCCATGCAGAGCCTGCAGCACAAAGCAAGCCCTGTGCAGGAAGGAGCCCACATCGGGTAGGCCACACACCCACTGGGAAATGCAGAAGTAGGGATTCCAGTTTTGATTATGTCATCAGCACCTCAAGAGATCTCCAAATAACCACCAGACAGAAGTTAGTAATATTTTTCTTTGTTTTTTTATAAAAAAAAAAAATAAAACAAGAGAACCAAACCCAAAGCAATTTCCACCAGTGCCCCCTTTCCTGAGCCATACCCCGGCACCTTCGCCGGGGAACATCGCAAGCCCGGAGCGTGAGCTGTCAAGCAACTCATTTCCATTCCAGCCAGGAACAATAATGCAAAACTGAAGAAAACAGTGAACCTCTTTGGTGTGTAATGACAGAATAAGTTATACCCACAAAGCTCAAGTAGGAACCATTTCCAAACTGGTAACGTTTGAAATAGTGTTAGCTAGCCAAACTTGTCTCCCTGGTCAGAGAATTTCCCTAGAAGCATCTCCTAGTCATGTCGACACCCCAGCTTCCTCCCCAAAAAGCAGGAGAGGATCTCAAGTGCTTAAAGCCCTCGGCAAGCCTGGCAGCTGCGGTTTTTCTGCATCCCAAAAACCTGGGATTTCTGCAGGACGGAGGCAGCCTGGCAGGAGAGGAAGCAGTGCAATTTGGAAGCGGGAAGAGGGAACGGCGGCGACAGCGGCTGAAACG